TACTATCAAATTTTACTCCCTTAATTGTATTCAATAATGTGACAAATAATGATAAAATATTTTTATCATGTAAATCTTAAAAAAAGGTGTCTACATCAAGAATTTGTGAAAAAAACGGGGCGTTTGGTTAGGAGTAAGGAATTAGGGTGGAAAGGAATTGCAATTCGGTAGGAAAAGAATAAGGTAGGAATAAAGTAGGAATTCAAATTACATTGTTCGGTAGGGATGAATATAATTATTGGGTAGGGAATAAAAAAGTGATATAAAAACTAAAATGTCCTTGTGTAATAATAATAGTAGTAATAATTAAGGGTACTTTTGTCATTTCATCCATTTTTTCTTTCCCCCCAATCACCGAATTGCAATTCATAGGGGGTGCCCATGAATTGCAATTCAGCAAAAGAAAAGAATTACAATTCCCTCCAACCAAACAACGTAAATTGTGACTTCCACAGAATTGCAATTCAACTACAGCTAAATTATGCTCAACCAATCAGGCCATAAAAGTTTTTGAAAAAAAATGGGAGTTGTATGTAATATTTTTGGTGAGAAAGTTGATTGTTGGCCCCATTACTTGTTGTTGCAGGTGGGCATTAAAGTAGTTGAAGACGTGGATGCATGCAGAACGATGATTGACTCATTGTTGAATAAACTTGGACAGTCAATATAATATATCAGTGTAAAGGCTGTGATGTGATTGGTGGTGGGGGTAGGTGAACTCTTGCTACCTACTAGAGTTGTTGGCGGCGGTCCCGGGGTTGCACCGCCCTGGCGGATCGGATAGGCGCCGCGACGGAAAATTACGGACAAGAACAATTATTTCAACGTAGCTTCTCAAAGGCAGAACACAATGCCCGAATGGAAGAAGATTATGTCCAAATGGACGGTTGTGTTACGGTCATTTATTCCTTCACTATTCACTTGAGTCAGGTTTTGGGAAAAGGAATTTAGCATTTTAATGGATAAGACAATGTAGAAAGAGATTCTTGAAAAAGAAGATAAAGTTTTTTTTTTTTTTTTTTTTTTTTTTTTTTTTTTTTAAGGAAAACAAGTTAAATAGACATTTGAACTTTACTCAAAATTACAATTAAGTTTTTGAATTTAAAAAAGTGTAATTAAACATTCAGGGTGTGTTTGGTTGGCGGGTTTTATCCATAGAAATGAGTATAAAAATTATTGTTGTTGTTTGGTTAATAGGTTTTTAGAACACTACTATAGGTTTCGAATACCCTATCAATTGAAAAATTCATACCCAAATAAAATAAGGGTTTCATTCCCTTATTAATTCTCAAGCACTACTATTAGTAACTATTCTCATTCTACCCTACTACCAAACATGTTAAATACTTTCACCAAAACCCATTACCATTACCAAGTATTTGATACCCATTCCAATTCCGATTCTGATTCCTATGTGCAAACCAAACACACCCTCACATTTATCATTTTAGTGAATCTAAACTCAATAACAAGTAATTTTTAACCAGTCACCAAAATTTCGACGACAGTTCCGACAGTAGAAATTTTTCGACGACTTTAAATTTTTTAAAAAAATATGACAACTGTTACCAATCGTCTTCTTCACCAAAGAAGACAACCAATGGTCGCATTCTCTAGTGGAGAAGACGACCAAATCTAGTCGCCTTCTCCACTGAAGAAGGGGACAAGACGGTGGTCTTCCATGGAGAAGACGACCGGTCTGGTCGTATTCTCCATGGAGAAGACGACCAGACTGTCTTCTCCGGTAGAAAAGATCGGAAGACGCTAGTAATTTTTTTTTACTTTTTTTTTTTTTTTTTTTTTTTTTTTTTTTTACGGTTGTGAATATGATCGACGATCAAAATTTTACCGGTAACATATTAGTTATCAGTAAATCGGACTTAATTGACACATTTTAATAAGTTTGAATGTTTAATTAAACTTTTTTAAAGTTCAGGGGCTTAATTGCACTTTCAAGCAAAGGTCAAGGGCCTATTTGACTTTTGTTTTTTTTCCTTTTTTAATATCATTAAAGCCGTAACAAATCAAAGATACAAGTCGGTGGGATTATATTCCACTCCCCGGAGACAGCCTCCGAAACGGTTGCCCGAACAAGCACATGAGCCACACAGTTCGCTGTTCTCTTAGTATGGACCTATATATATATATATATATATATTGGTAGTTATATATATATATATATATATATATATATATATATATATATATATAACTACCAATCACATGATGATATGGAGAAGAAATTTGTACAAAAAAATACATGGATTTATAACATTGCTCGTAATTAAAAGCGGGGCTGGTGACAGTATGTTTTTACAATCTTGTCCATACTTACGGCACTTCCTAAATTTGTCAACTTAATACTTCCCTTCTTAAAATTGTCAAATGTCAATGCCTTCACAATAATGCATGTCTAGTGGATTCTATCTTTCTAGATATACCTTTAAGAAAAAGTGCTAATTATGTTAGCTGTGACATGAAATTTTATATCCAGATCAGATCGCACTAAGCATAATGAAAATTATTATCGTGTTATTATATTAAACACCACCACTGAAAAGTGTGTTGTTTGTGAAGTGCACCGCCATTATATTAACATGAATTTCGTTGTTTTAAAATATTTGTATGGACCGTTTAGTTGGAAGGAATGAATTAAAGGAGAAAATGAATTGTAATTCGGTAGAAAAAGAATAATGTGAGAATAATAAAGTAAGAATTCAAATTACATTATTTAGTAGGGAGGAATGAAAATATTAGAAATGAGGATGAAGAAGTGATATAAAGACTAAAATATCTTTGTATAATAATAATAATACTATTACTAATACGTAATAATAATTAAGAATAAAAAAAAAAATTTATTCCTTTTTCTCTCCCATTTTCCCTTTGAATTACAATTCATACGAGGAGGGTATGAATTGTAATTCAACAAAATGAGGAAATTACAATTCCCTCCAACCAAATACGGTAATTCAGGTGGTCAAAGAATTATGTTGTAATTGAATTACAACTATCTCCACATACATTTGAAAATTTGTATTGATATTAGTGAATGGTAACCAATAATTAAAGGTCTATTCTATATATGCTTCTGTTCCTCTATGTTCTATGATATTTTTGCATTGATTTTTATGTTACTTTTGGATTCTTCAAATTCACATTTAAGTACATAACCTCATCCATCGTGACTAAAAAAAAGTGATAGAGAAGATAAATTGTCGATGTGCCTCAATTAGTTTCGCATAAGAGATATAATACTTTTTGAAGGTAAAGAATTAATGCATTAAATCACGGAAGGGAAAAGGGAGGGATATCAAATCATTTCTCATGACCTGACTCAAAATAGGCCTCCCTAGCAATAGTATGAGCGGTACAATTCGCAGATCGTCTAACAAAACGGATTTAAACATCATCAATCATGAATGCCAATTCTTTAACATCATCAACTAGAAGTCCAAAAGTATAAGATGAAAGAGAATACAAAGCAGTTTGTGAGTCCATCTCCATATCAACATTACCCAGACCTCCAGCTTAGAGCTTCTCTTACACTGATGGCCTCGGCTTCATTAACGGTGAAGGTCTCGGTCAATCTCACATTTTTTGTTTCCAAAAAAACGTCGTCATGATCTCGCAATACCTAGCATAAACCCATCTTATTATTCGATATGTCCAACGATGTGTCCGTATTTAGATATATAATACTTTTAACAAAAATATAATACTATGTCCATGGTTGCAGTAGGCGTTAGGAGCTAGTCGGGCGCCCAGGCAGCGCCTAGCGCCTAAGCGGTCTAGTCGGCGCTTAGGCGGAATCTAGGCGGCGCTAGGCGGTCGCGAAAAAAACAGTAGCAGACTTGCAATTTGACAATTTTAATGAGGTTGTTTTCAACTTTCAATAAAATAACACATCCAAATAAATGACATAATGACAATTCATAAGTCATAACATCAAAAGAATATTAAAAAAAAAAAAAAAAAAAACTCAAATGAAATACCCAAATACTTCAATCATCCAAAGATTGAAAGTATCAAACTAGTCTACGAGTGTATATATGTCATATTATATGTATATGTCATATAAATGGAAAAAATTAGCAAGGTCGAGTCGGTCGGGTTAACTCGACAGAAATTGACGAGTTAACTCGGCGTAATCGGACGAATTAGGCGCTAGGCGGCTAAATTAGGCGCTAGGCGGGCGCCTAGGCGGCCGGTCTCCTATGCGGGAGCCTAGGGCGGAAATCGCCAAGGCCTATGGGCGCCTAGCGCCTAGGCGCCGATTACTCGGTGCCTAGGCGGGATTTTTACAACCCTGACTATGTCATGAGATTCATAAAGTGTATTATATTTTGGTTAAAAACAACTATATCTTTCAAGTGAAATGATAGCGCGCACACACACTACGCACATATATAATCTAAAAAATATAGACAAAAATGTAATTTTAATCCCTCAATTGTTCATTGCTAGCGATTTTAGTCGCTAACTTTTTACTGTATCAATATATACCCCTTCTCTTTAAAAATTTATATTTTTAACCAAATTAGTACATGGATATTTTAAATTTTTATTATCTTTATTCATTATAACATTGTCAGTTTTGGTATTTTATATGCAAAATAGAGATTTTATAACATTTTTCACTAAATTTTTTCTTTTCAATTGTGGTACATCGGGTCCTTATTTTTTCTTACATGACCTTGTTAAAATTATATCTTTATTTTACAAATGAAATACAAAATTAAACAAGATTACAATTAAAGAAGAAACATTAAAAGTATTAAAATATCTATATACTAATTAAAATTTTAATAATTTGATTACATTAAAGATTAAAACTGTAGCTGTTTTGAAGAGTTAGGAATATATATTACAATGATAAAAAGTGACTGAAGGACTAAAATTGCATTTTTCCCAAAATATATATAACGCATTCAACATTCCATTAATAACGACAGCACATGCAATGCGATATCAATCATATATCCATTTCAGGAATTTAAAATTAAATCCGCAGCTGTCTCGATTAAAATACATTTTAAGTCCAGAAGAACACAGATTCTTTAAAACCCATGGTTCGGTGCGAAGAAGCTTCAAATTCTGTTCAAGAAATTAGTGAGGCGAAAAGGTGATAGACTGATAGGGTGAAGATGGAGGAAGCTCTACTATTGCAAAAAAAGGTGGAGAGGAGAGCGTTTGTGGCGGAGTTCAAGAAGGTGAGCTTCATAGCCATACCCATGGTGGTGGTCACCGTTTCCCAGCACTTGTTGAGGGTTGTGGCCATGATGATGGTGGGGCATCTCAGTGAGCTATCCCTCTCCGGCGCCGCCATCGCCACTTCCATCACCAATGTCACCGGCTTCAGCGTTCTTGTAAGTTGCCCTTCTCTAATCGGTCCAGTTTGGAAATTAAAATGTTAGATATAAATAATCTAACTAATGTTCTAGTTGTGTTGTCTCTTGAACGATAGACCGTCAGCCATATTTGTCTCATACTTGATTCATAATCCTAAATAGTGTATTGGTGTCTACTGAGCAGTATGAGTACTGTATCTGTATATGCTATATAATGAATATCTTGAAGCCCATTCATCCAAGTTTATATTAGGCACAGAGTCTGGTTGAATAACAGCTTCTAGTTATTTAGTCCGACCAGACCCCTTAATACGCAAATTATGTTGTGCACACGGTTCCAAAAATGACATCGTTTTAACTAAAAACGTGTCCCACTTAAAAAAAAAAAAAATTCAGGTTCGATTCCCAGCAATAGCATTTTTGTGTGCATAATTTGAATTATATATCCACAATGAATGAACTAAATATCCACAGTGAATGAATAACTAAAAATCCAGAATGAATGAACTAAATATCCAGAATGAATGAACTAAATATCCAGAATGAATTAACTAAATATCCACAATGAATGAACTAAATATCCACAATGAATGAACAACATAATGCTGTTGAGGGGAATCAAAACTGATTTTTTTTTTTAAATGGGACGCGCGTTTTTAGTCAAAACGACGTCGTTTTGCAACATGGTGCACACCGTTGCACAGCATAAGTATTGCCCCTTAATAAGTCTAGTCAACGTGCACCACTTAATTAAGGCCCTAATATGTAATATACAATATATTAGGGAAAATCTTACATAAAATACTGTGGCTAATTGGTTATTGAACTTGATGACCAGTTTGGAATGGCTAGTGCACTGGAGACTTTGTGTGGCCAAGCTTATGGAGCTGAACAGTACCAGAAGCTAGGAGTATACACTTATGCAGCCATAATATCTCTCATTGCAGTGTGTATTCCGATATCTATTCTATGGATTTTCATGGATAAACTTCTAATCTTTATAGGCCAAGACCCACTGATTTCGACAGAAGCAGGGAGATATTCTACATGGCTGATTGTGACCTTGGTTCCATATGCTATTCTTCAAGCTCAAGTCCGTTACCTGCAAACCCAGAGCTTGATCCTTCCGATGCTGTTAAGCTCAATAGCGTCTTTATGTTTTCATGTTCTAATTTGCTGGGCATTAGTGTTTAAGATAAACATGGGGAGTGGTGGAGCAGCATTAGCAATTGGTTTATCATATTGGGTTAATGTGATCCTACTTGGGGTTTATGTTCGTTATTCTTCTTCCTGCAAGAAGACCCTCATCTGTTTCTCATCAAAAGATGTTTTTTCTGGAGTTGGGGAGTTCTTCCGCTTGGCCATCCCTTCTGCTAGCATGGTTTGGTATAGTTTGTTCAATCGCCCCTTCTTTTATTAAACATAATAGAACTCTAGCTTAATTTCGTGTTTTTTTGCATCTAATAGTCTTGAATGGTGGACATCTGAAATAATTGTATTGCTCTCCGGTCTCTTGCGTAATCCTCAACTCGAGACTTCAGTGCTCTCAGTATGGTATGTGAAAGTCCTAGGCTCAGCTCCTAATCCAGATGATTTTTTTGCTCTTGGTACTAAAGATTTGTTTGTTTCTGAAACAGCCTATTGATTGCTTCGATGCATTACTTTGTGCCGTTCTCCATTGGCGCTGGTGCAAGGTCTGCTCTGATACTCTGCTAGACACGTGTTTTGCGAATGAAACAATGTTGAGATTGAGAATTGTTGTTTGCAGCACTCGAGTTTCGAATCAACTAGGCGCAGGAAATGCAGAAGCGGCTCGGGCTGCTGTCTGGGCTGCACTTTTGCTTGCTATTGCAGAGGCAGTAATAGCAAATGCAGCTCTACTCGGGTCCTCCCGTGTCCTCGGTTATGCATTCAGTAACGAGAAGGCAGTTGTGGATTACATTCGCGAAATGGTTCCTTTCGTTTGCCTCTTACTCACAATGGACTGCATCCAGGCCGTTCTATCTGGTTCGTGTACTCATAACTCTCCTTTTCATTTCAAGAGCAGGAGCTTATTATCTTTTTTTTTTTTTTTTTTTTTTTTTTTTTAATGTTATTGACTCTATTACAATGTAGTATCTGTTCATAGAGTACGAGGTTATTGTCTAATGCCCAGAAAATTTGTATTCTGCATAATCCAGGAGTTGCACGAGGAAGCGGGTGGCAACATTTGGGAGCATATGTCAACCTAGGAGCATTCTATTTGGTTGGAATGCCAGTGGCCATACTACTTGGCTTTGTTCTTCACTTAAATGGGAAGGGCCTTTGGATTGGACTAAATTCAGGGGCTACAGTGCAATCCCTTCTGCTTTCTGTCATAACTTGTTTCACTGATTGGCAAAAACAGGTATATTCCCATAAAGCCTAATTAGTGTTCATGTTGTCTCTGTGCTTAGTATCACTATTGTCACGTGTATAGAGTCCGGCACAGCACACAACTCCCGTGCGGCGTCCCGGGCTCATATCCCGCGGACTAGCTTTACCCTCATACGCGCTAAACTGGTTTCGCCCTGTCATGGGCTCATCAGGGAACGTCAAGAGCTCCCGACCAGTTGTGCTCTTAGAATCGCATAGGTCCCCTTCACAGTCAAGTCCAAGAGGCTCTCCAAACTTAACCGGGTCGGCATGCCGGACTCGGCTAGACCTAAGCGTCTAAAGCAAAACACTCTTAACGTTATTGACGTCCCCTTTACCCATTTGGCAAATTAACCAGTTGGCCCATTCAATCCTTGGGTCTTAACACGTCACGAAACACAGTCACTGACACTATCTCCTTCAACTTGGTGAAAGTGCAAGAAGATGTGGTTATGTGATAAATTTTCCTACTAGTTGGCATTTGATAATGAAATGAGATTAATATGGATAATAGTATCTTATTTTGCTGGAAAATTGCAGGGATCAATTGCTAGAGAACGGATCTTTCATGGTGGTAATCCATAAGTGTGAAGGAACTGTTAAGTTGAAACAAATTAACGCTTATGATCAAGATGGTTCTCATTTGCTGATCTGTTGCACCAACATTATTGTACCTTTTTGCACTTTAAAAAAAAAAAAAAAAGATTTACAAAAAAGTTTACAACTACTACACGAAAGTACGCTATGGATGAAGCTTGACTTGTGACCATAGTCGAGACTTACGAGGTAAATTAGTTTAAATTGTCCATAATTGAGTAATTGATGAGTCAAACAAAGAAGCTTTGTAATGCCATCCCGGTTAGTGCATTTTGCACAGTTTTTGAGAATAGATCAAATAGGTGATGTGGATTAGATAAGGTGAGGAGAGAGAAAATTAGAGTTTCTCCTGCAAAGTGTGAGTTTTTTGTGAGTTCCGTACACAGAAAAATAGAGAATGAACGCGTAGCAATGCGCGTTTTGCACACAATGGCGCCCAGCCACGCTCAGTACTTGTATTATTTATTTTTTTCTGCATTTGAACACTGTTTCGTTTTTTCTTTTTTTCTTCTTCTCTTTCCTCATCCTTTCTCCTACTTGGCACCTTAAAAATCATACCAAAAATCTCACTATTGAGGATGCTCTAATTAGCACCTTGTAATTATTAAGTCATCTACCTGATCAACTTGATTTTGAGTTGCCCCTTGCACTTTCTTTTGGATACTAGAATTTGATTGAGAGAATAATAAATAAAGATCAAAACAAGCAAGGACAATGATACGAGTTAATTTTAGTTTTAGTAACTCTTATTATATTATATATTAGAGGTATTATATTATGATAGTACATTATTTCAAAAAAAAAAAAAAAATGATCATCTTCATGTCTTGTAGTTATATTAAAATTCTATATATATGTATATATGCTATGTTTTATCCAAGTGTCTTATACGAAGACAATAAAATTTGTGCTGCACAAATAATAAATGAACATGCATAGAAATATTTGACATAAGTATATAGAGCCAAAATTCAACCAACGCAAGCTCTAATAGAATCATGAGATTATTATACAGAATAACAAAATGTTTACTCTAGTGTCAATGTTGAAGATTGTATAGTAACATTTATTTTAATCAATCTTAAAAATTGAACTTGAATCAATCATAAAGATTAGGTCATGAAGATTAACAATTGTACTTTTTTTTTTCTTTGATTAGATTTTGATAAAATTTTCTCAATTAAATTGTCAGGGAAACAATAAAGTCTATTGCTATCCTAGATGGCAAATTATCTGTCCACATAGTTGTGCGGCAATGTGCGGCAATCGTTATGCTATGGATCCATGTCCAGCATGCATGCTGGACACGGTAATAATACCGTTAGTGGCATTGTTCTCTTCCACTTTTTATTTTTTATTTTTTAATTTCAGACTACTTTATTATAGGAGTATATGTTCATAATTTTATCACTATATGTTCATAATTGTAAATTCATAATGTCAGAGCTCTATGTTCATAATTGCATAACTGTATATTCATAATTGCATAACTGTACATTCATAATTCCATAACTGTACATTCATAATTCAATAACTGTAAATTCATAATTTTTGAAACTCTATGTTCACAATTTTAGAGCTCTATGTTCATAATTTTATCACTATATGTTCATAATGTCAGAGCTCTGTGTTCATAATTCCATAACTTACATTCATAATTCCATAACTGTACATTCATAATTCCATAACTGTACATTCATAATGCCACAAACGAATAACGTCGTTAACAGCGAGAGAAAATCAATTTTTTTTTTTTAAACTGGAATGCCGCGTTTTCCCTTAAAACGACGTCGTTTTGGACTCGTGTCCACGATGCATTGTGGACATGAGTCCGCATTGTGGACACGAGTCCACAGTATAATTTGCGGTTGTATGGAGTGTGGACCACGGTTCAAAATGAAGTCGTTAAATTTTTTAGGGGAAATGGAGGAGGATATCCAAGAATCACTAGTTGATTCTCACAATATTGCTGTGACCCAAGAGGCCGAGTTCATCCTCTCGCACCAATTTTTCCATGAAGCTAGTGACATTCTCATAGTACTTCGTCACCTCATCATCTTCCATGGCTTGTTTAGCAATGGAGTCGGCAACCTTGTTTTGCTCCCTCGGGATATGTTTGAACTCAATTTCTCAGTTCCACTCCTTTGCAGCTCTGCAAAGTGTCACCAAGTTATTGTCTGGTCCCTCATAATGACCATCATTTTCCAGCAGCTTGATAGCGGTTGCACTGTCGGATTCAAACTTGACCCTCTGGTAGCCTCGCTCCCATGCCCTTTTGATGCCCAAGTAGATCCCCCACATCTCAGCCTCTATAGGCTCGCAGGTGCCGATGCGGTGGGAGAAGGCTTCCCAGAATCTGGCATTCTCGTCCCTAATCACCCCCCCGCAAGCTGCGTTTCTGGTGTTTCTGCACGAGCATCCATCCGTGTTGATCTTGAGCCAACCATTTGGAGGTGGAGTCCATGGGTGGCTTCTTCTTGCGTCTTGTTCTCTTCTCTTCTCCACTCCAGCCTCCCGGTTCAGCGCTGCCTCAACGTCCCGAAACTGTCTGCTCAGCCAATCCATTTTTGCATTAATATCGAGCGCTTTGCCATTGAAAACAAACTCGTTCCTCCACTTCCAAATTCCCCATGCGATCATCGTGAACCTTGCGCTGCGCTTCTTCCTCCTTTGCTCGCCTTTTCATCGTGAAGTCGTTAAATTTTATGAGTTAGAATAATGTACTTTATGAGAATAATGAAACTTTTAGGTTAAGATAATGTATTTTATGAGTTAAAATAATATTTCCTTTGTCCAATTTTATTTGTCATACTTACTATTCATTAGTCAAATCAACTCTTTCTTCTTTTGTTTATTTTATTTACTACAGAGTATTATTTATTTATTTTTAAATTTGATTTTTTTTTTTTTTGTGTTTAATAGTACTTTTAGGGTAGTTTCTAAATATAAAAATTTTGTATACTAATACTAAACTAAATATTATGAAAAATTAAACTAAAAATAACTTCAGTCAAGTCTCGTTAACTGAATCAAACACATAAAATTGAACGGAGAGAGTATACATTATACTTTAGAATAATGTATATTACAGAGTATGATTTATAATAATGCATGTTGTAGTAAGTCGCATGAATTATTTTTTACACAAAACGACATCATTTTTGTACCGTGGTCCACGCAATAATTATTGTATCCTTAATCCTAGAAACTAGAAAGAGCTTGTGGGGCCTTTAAACAACTATGGGCCTATGGACCTAAAAGGAACAATTGCATCGAACTTTATATAAACAGCCATGGGCCTTTCACCTCCGGTTCTCTCCGCCGACGACACCGAGGGGTCAACGCCTTATCCTTTCTCAGCGATGAACAGAGAAATGACGGGGAAAGCACTTCACTTCAATGCCCTCCACAGGACAGACACAAATCAGTTCTGGAATCTCAAGGGAGCCAACAACAAAAGGCAAAAGCAATCGTCGGTCCCCGAGTTCTTCCAAGAAAGCTGCTCCAAACTGGAGAGCGCTGTGCTGGGACCCGGCGGCGGCGCTGGCATTGGGTGCGGCGTCGGAGTGGGACTGGGACTGGTCGGAGGTGTGGGTCTGGGAGGCTCGCCGTGGAATCACCTCCGAGTGGCGTTTGGTGTGGGAATTGGGTGTGGCGTCGGAGTCGGGTTCGGGTTTGGGCAGGGTTTGGGGATGGGTATTACATTGGAGTCTCTGAGATCTCGTTTGTTTCCTCCCAAAAAGAAACCCAGAAAATCCCTTGTATTAATATAGTCTGATTGAGATGATTTCCAGCTCTGTTTGATGTAATTTACATTGTTTTGTTTGTTATGAGTCTGGTAATCTTTGAGCTGTTTGATGATTCTTCTGCCAAAAATCGTGCCCTATTATTACTCAAACAAAAACATATAATTTTAGTGAGAAGTTTTACAATACAAATTTGTAATTTACAATAATAACATCGCATAACACTTGTGTGAGACCAAAATTCGTGAGACAAGTCGAATTTTCGATTAATAAGTTAGATCATTGATCGCATTAATTAAAGATCCTATTCGTGTCACGAATTAAACCACAAAAGTTTTTGCTAATAACATCACATGACAATCCTCTCAAACTTTAATTTTGATTTTTTTTTTTTTTTTTTTTTTGGTTTTCATTAGTAAAGAAATCATATTTATATTTAGGCATTCGGAACATGAAAATTTCAGGTATAAAATTTTGTACATTCCAAATATAGATTTTTTTCTTAAAAAGTTAGAGTTTATGTGTATTATGTTAAAATTTTATGTATATTATGTATTATGTTATTATGTATATTATCCTTTCAAAAAAAATTATGTGTATTCATTTATAAAATTCTATGTTTTCAGGTATAAAAATATGTGTATTTTATTATAGAATTCTGTACATTCGAAACATGATTTTTTTTAATTTTATTTTAAGAAGTTAACAGACACGCGAAAAGGTACATAACGACGTCGTTTTGGGTCAGAGCGCACAATGGTACACGGTATAATTTGCCATCCAAACTAACTAAATCAAACTTTTTCAACAAAGTTGTTTGAAGAAAATAATATTCTTCCAAAAAGTTAAACCCCAACCCCACTTTGTGCTTACTACCCCTTCACTTTGAGAGGTTGCTCCCACACTATGCTGGTCATTCTTCCAAAGTTTCACCTGTGAGACCAGTTGAGCTACTTGCTCCCAACACTATGCTGGTCATTCTTTCAAAGTTTCACCTCACCAGTTGAGCTACCCATGCGGGTGAAGAAAATAATATGAAAAAAATGATCAAATAAGCTACTTAATTTTATTTAAAAAATTAATTAGGTACTTAACTTTTTTAAAAATTACAATTAAATTCATAAACATGTTATTTTAAATATTTAAGTCCAAAAATCAATTAGCAGGTTACCTAGGATTTCGACGACTTTTCATACACTTTTCGGTAATAGTCACCGGTAACCAGACAGTCGCCGATTGCGTTTGGAAGAGGCGACCAACTGGTTTACCTTCTCCTAAGTAATCTCATACTTTTCATTTTTACTTCAGACTTCTCCTCAATCAAAACAATATTACTCGAAGATTATGTATAAGAGTAACATGTATATGAAGACTCATGAAATTTTTTTTAAAATTTTTTACAAAATGATTAATTTGTATTTTAATAATTTGGACTTTCAACATAATTAAAGAGTAAAATTGGTATAGTGTAATAATTCATGGTAAAAGTGTAAAACTGCAATTTTCCCATTATTTTCTATTGGCTAACAAAACTAGTTGTGTCACCGCGATGTAACGTTATAATTGTTAGATAAGTATACGATAGCTAAAACATTACCAGAATCTTTATAAAACCCCTTTCCCCTCAAATCCAAGATTTTCCGCCACCGTATTCGGCTAATGGAGCCGCCATTTCCGCCTCCCTCCGCCGCGACACACTCCCTTGTTGATGCACCGCCGTTCCCTCCGCCTCCTGCTTTCACCACCAAGCTCCGTCTTATGTGCAGCTACGGCGGGCATATAGTTCCCCGCCCCCAAACCAATACCTTCTTCTATGCCGGCGGCGAAACTCGTATAATCGCCGTGGACCGCCTCACGACCGCCTTTTCACTTGCTTCCCTTACGGCCCATCTTTCCCGCTCTCTGTATAACAATCGCCCCTTCTACCTCAAGTACCAGCTCCCCGACGAGGGCCTCGACTCGCTCATCTCCGTTACTACCGATGAGGACCTCCAGAACATGCTCGAAGAGCACGATCGCAGCGCCTCATCTACCTCTCCTAATCCTTCCCGCATCCGATTGTTCCTCTTCCCCGTCAAGCCCGAATCGCTCCTCGACTCGAAAGCGGAATCGTGGTTCTCCGATGCGTTGAGCAATACTAGGATTGAGCGGAGAGTTCAGTCGACTGATTCGAACCTACCTCGTGCGTTGATAGGGTTTGATATTGCTGGTGGCTTTGATTCGGTTTCCGGCGAAGGCCTGGCGCAGAGTTTGAGTAACGGTGGAGGTGGAGTTGGAGATGCTAAACATGGGTTGGATTATGGAGGTTCTGGACACGAGTCCCTGGTCTTGGAGACAAGTTCTTCGTTTGGGTCTACGAGTTCCTTTATTTCCATGTCGAGTTTGCCGGCGTTTGGGGTTCACGGCGAGGAAGGGACTGTCAATTTGCAGGATAAGAAGGTTAGAGTGCCCTCTTCAGCTTCAATTGAAAGGTGCGTACTTTACTTCACTAGATTGCCTGTAATTCTTTGTGTGTTAAATGCGGGAGGTGAATCTGATTGAAATTGGAAGTTATGTATAAATTATTTGCCTGAAAGAGTTAAGGAAGAGGCCTTTCATGCCTCAATCTTCTGTTTTCATCTGGATTCTTTAGTTTTTACTCTGTGTATTCTTAATTTGTAATGGCTGCAACTGAAGTGGTATATTCATCGAACTGTATAGTGATAACAGTGTTGGAAGTGTTGCATCTCAACCCAAACCTGCAATCTGCCAAGAATCATATGCCCAAGTTTCTGGAATGGCCCCAAGCTGCTGTACTGTTGAACCAGAAAGTCCTATGGCTATGGCTAACCCATCAACTATGATTCAGCCCCAGAAAATGGTTCAGGTTTCAGGTTATGAATTCCCGCAACAGGCTGATGGGAAGCTGTACAAACCCGGAATGCAATATGTCCATGGAGGTCCTTACTATGTACCTCAATATCCGACAACCACATCACAATTATCATCTTGTTATCCACTGTACCATGTTCCTATGCTACCACCACAGCAGCAGCAAAGCCCGTATCATGTAAATCAACCATACCCAATTTATTTGGTACCCGTGGTTCCAAATCAATCTCTAAATATGCCAATGCAGAATGATGCTATAGATATTGCTTCGATTCTGCCCCCCTTGCATCTGCAAGGAGCTGTGATCCCTCCACCAGTTAAACATGTACCTGAGCCAGCAGCAAATATGCAGAGTGATCTCCCCGTTTCAGCTGCTCCAGCTAGTGTGCCTTCTTCCAAGTGTCAGCAATCGTTTGTTGGGCCTCTCGAGCCAAAGCCTGTTGCTACAACATCAATTGATACTGTTTGTAATGGATTTGACGATGATCTTTCATACAGTCAGATATATAAAACTCAGCCTCCAGTTCCATCATTTATATCTCAGTGCGAAACCATTACAAAGGGGGCAACAGTACAGTTATCTGAGTCCTCAATGCAGCAAACCCCGAATGATGTGACAGCCCAGGTCTCATCCCTTCTACAACAATCTTGAAATACTGTTTATAGAATTGCAAAATTTTGGTATGTTTTTCTTCTTTTTCAAGTTTGCAGTCTTGGTCTGTTGTTTTCTTTTATTTCCCCACTTTCTATATTTGTTTATTTATTTGTTCTTTCTCTGCCCATTCCCTGCCTACTTCCGGCAAGGAAAAGCCGAACAGTGTTAAAGGTCATTCGTTTTATATATCTTGGAAATGTGGAACTTTCAAGTTACTATGGAAATGTTGTAACCTGGCTTCTGAATTTTGTATTCAGTATGAAGTTCTTGTAAACTTCAAAGAATGTTGGGGATTTATAGTCATTAGTGTGGATGTGTGTGCTCTTGTTATGCTTACTGGAAGTGATTAGTACATGAAAGAAGGCAAGAAGGTATTTAAGTATGGACTTTCAATTGCTTTTCTTGTATTGATCCTCCTCTTCAGCCTCTTAATATTTTTGTTCTCTGCTATATATATTATCTCAGTTCTTGTACATGCTTGTCTAATTGAACAAACCCTGCAAAGTTGGAGAGAACATTATGTTAAAGAATTTCATTCAACAAGGACTCAAATAGTCAAACTCAATCTGGGTAGCACTTTGCCCCTTAATTGAACCGATCTGGTGCGAATGAAAATTAATCTGAGTATGGTATGAGCTTAAAGGTACCTCTCTCGTATGAAAAAACCAATCTGGCCAACATTTTGCCCCTTAATTAGATTCGCCCAGTGTGAATGGGAATTAGACTGAGTATGATATGAGTTTAAAGGAGCCTCCTATTGTTAGGGTCTGTTCAAGACACCTCATGGTTTGACAAAAAAAAAATAGTCACACTAACAAGAATTAGAATGTATTTTGTTACATGTTACTCCCAGTGCTCTTGCCACAAAGTTTATTTTGGCTTCAGTCTGTGATATTAGTGGTTTTCTTCAAGGTAAGAGCCCATTCTGTCTTGCCAAATCTGCTTTCCCTCCTCCCTTTATACTGTTTTTGGGGCTACAAATCTTGGCAAACTAGTGGACCAAGATGCTTAGCGATTTCCCACCATATTTGTTGCCCTAGAGGATGGGGTGAATAGATTTGTTATCTTTTTGAAAACTTTTGCAAACTAACGGTGTTGTAAATTTGAGTTTTACACAATGGAAATAATGTTTAAAAAAATTTATTTGTTCCTTTGTAAATTTGTAAGTTGTAACACTTGAACGGAAAAGTAATATATTTTGTATTTTGTATTTTTTTAAAATCCAAACAAAAATTGATATCTGATTATAACTGTCCGAATCCAAAATTATAAATATTTGACGATTTTAACTAATTAAATGATGGATTGGATATAAAAAATAAAAATAAAAAATCAAACAGATGGATGGTTCATACATTCGAACCGTCTGAACCCATCTGATGCACACCTTTACCTAGCGTGCACCTTCATATAATGGTTGTGGACTTTTTGTAAATAAAAAAATTACTTCAATATAGTTAATAAATAAAAAAGATTTTATTGTTAAAAAAATTTAAAAAGAAAAATGACATTATTATTCAAATAAAAAAAAAAAAGAAAAAAGTATTCTCTCTAACTTTGCTTTCTCTCCTATTTTTGTCTTCTTCCAAGAAGTAAAGCCCCTACGACTTGGTGCTGCTGGTCGACGCACTGATGGAAGTAAAGCCCTTACGACTTGGTGCTGCTGGTCAACGCACTGATGGAAGTTGGTGCTGCTGGTCGACGGACTGATGAAGCGTTGGGCCGGTGGTGCCATTAGTAGACTCCATCCTCCGACTGTTTTAGGAACAAGTGTTAGATCTCAGATCGTTTTCAAAGAAGGTTTCAGGGACTCTCTAGATCTGACAGGTTTTTTACATTATTTATTTATTTATTTATTTATTTTGCTTTCTTTTGGTTCTACGTTATCTCTTTGTTCCTTTGAATAGTTTGTTTCTTCCTATCGTCTCTCTAGCGAGTGTTTCCCTCTCGTTTCTTTGACGAGTTTTTTCTCTCATTTCTTTGGCGAGTTCTCTTCATAAGCGTGGAATGATAAAATGGTCACACCAGCTTGTCTATGTTTGACCAGATCTGTGAAGAAGCGCCGAGTTCATCCAACAACTTCGGTTTCAAATTTGTAAAGCAGTCTGCGATCCAAGTTTTCTGTAACATTGCTAAAAAATATAATACTATTCTAACGATCGATAAATTTTTCTGCTTATGATTAATGAATTAGTCTTTTATTTAAAAAAAAAAATACTCCGTAACATTTTAATTACAAAAGTATAACAATTTTTCGCTTATTTATTTCCCATTCTCGACCTTTCTGCAAAAAGAGTTGACTGTTGATCACTGACTTGGCAGCAAATCTCAAGTGATAGCACGCGCCCCGTTGCCAAAACGAACAAACTTCGATGCAGATCCCTGATCATGAGATCCACGGTTGGTATTAGAGATCAACATATCGGACCACGAACTCTAACTCCCTTGCGAAACACTGAATCATTTTTTCTATTCTGTCTTCACGGACTGTGTCTCCATTTCTCGGAACGATATCTGTTTCTGTTAGAAAATTTCCTTCACCGACGATCTGAGCGAATGCGATCGGTGCAAGTGAATACATTTGAGCACACACACACACGGGTGTTTGTTCGCTCGCCACTACATCGCCGGCGATCAAATGGACGTCGAGAGATCGTCCCTGTGCAATTGCGTCGTGAATTTCCTGTTGGAAGAGAACTACCTTTTAACGGCATTCGAGCTTCTCCACGAGCTTCTAGATGATGGCCGCGACGACCAGGCCATTCGCCTCAAGGAATTCTTCGCCGATCCAATTCAGTTTCCTCCTGATCAGATCGCTCGTTTCAACTCGCTTCGAGGTTCTGAGTCTCTCTCACTCACTCACTCTAGTGACTCTAGCTTGCTAGCTCGCTTTTCGTCTTTTATTTTTCCTTCTTTACATGCCTCTTTTAGCTGTAATAATCGATTTTTTTTCTTAATTGCTCAAAATTTCGTACAATCCTGCATCTGCGGATCATTATGCTAATTGTTGAGTGTTTGAACTTTCCTGCTTTTTAATTTGGGTTCAAAGAAAAATCAACTCAGGTTGATACGTCTCTTAGCATTCGTGTTATTTAGAGCTTCTTTATTCTGAACTTTGTTGTAGAACACTCGTGATCCGTTTTAAGTTCTGTTTAGTTGTATAGGCCTCTACAGTGGAACTTGCTTCAGCACTGAAACTAAGTTTTGTTTTTCAATTGAAGGAGGTTTCTTCAAAATTCCCTATGAGGCTATGATCAATCTTTAGAATTTATAATTTGGACTAAGGTTTTTGTTCTAAATTTCCTACTATTGAATGGTGTCAATTCACCAAGTCATGATGCTGACTGAAATAATTGAATTATTCTCAAGGCTATTGAAGCATATGATTGAGACCAATTGCTCTAACTTTGTAGTTGAACTTCTCCATTGGTAATCAGAAGTAGGATTCAAAAGAGAGTAATAAAATTCTGATTCTTTAAAGTTAAGCATATCTTTTCTTGTGTATAATCTAATGTATTTGTCAGCTTCTGCAAATAAGTACCTTTTTTTTTTTTTTTTTTTTTTTTTTTCTCTTCTTCTTGTGAGAACAGTTACTGACCCCCAGACACTTCTGGAAGACCGAGAATCACTAGAAGAAAAATTGGCACTTGCGGAGTATGATCTTCGTTTAGCTCAAGAAGACATTGTGAAACTCAAGGATGATTTGCATATGAGAGCTCATAGTGTCCTTGACCAAAAAAATGGTAATCATTGTATCTATTCTGCATTTCTTTGTTTCGACACAGCTTCATCTTCAGAAATCACTTGGATTATGCTTTTGCTAGTCATATATTTTATTAAACATTTTAGATAAAATTGTTTTATTGAAACATGTACTATCATTTGTTTATAATTGTTTAAAAGATTAAAATACGGAGTAGTTAAGTAATGGATTATAAGGTGTACTATTGGCCTTTTATGTTATTCAGAAATTTTTTTTCTATTTTTGTTGTTAGATTCTTATCATTACTGAAATGTATGACATCCAAAATTGTCTGTTATGGTTAGAGTTTCTAATACGTAATACCTTAACTGTCTGGCTCCCTGATTGACTTGGATTATCTAGTAGTATACAACTTGATTTGTATTTTAAATCTTTAAAGTCACATATTTAATACTTGAATATGCTTCTTCTGTTTGTCATTTTTCCTGTCGATGTCGTTTTGCAGAGTCAAAGGTACATGTTTCTGAAAAACTTGAAAATGATTTTCAGCAGCAGAAAAGGGACGCTTCTTTCTCTGATTTGGGTCCTTTGAAGGATAATGAGCGTAAATATCTAAACTGTGCTGTAAAGGAGTATCTGTTGATAGCAGGATACCGTTTGACTGCCATGACATTCTATGAAGAGGTATTTAATCTTAAACAAGAGTGGCTTTCTTATTTCTAAGTGTTCATAAATTGAACCTTAACGAGGAATTCTTTTCTGTCAATGAGTATTTAGATTATACTAAAATTTTCCATTGCATACATCTGTGTCCCCATGCCCTGCACCCCTTAACCTTTTCAATGCTATAGGTATTCTTTGAAGATTGAGATCTTTCCTTTTTTTGTCAAACTTGTATCTTCATATTGATTTCAGGCATAAGTCAGTGATGTTAGATGTGGTTTTTGATCTTGCAATTTTACTAGCATACATGACAAAGAAAACAAAGATTAATGAATAAGAGAGTGAAAGAAAGTAAAAACTCAGAAAGACATGCATATATTTTAACTTTAAGACATGGCAGGTGACTGACCAGAGCTTAGACGTTTGGCCAAACTCATCTGCATGTGCCCCAGATGCTTTGCGCCATTACTACTACCAGTACCTGTCTTCCTCCACAGAAGCTGCTGAGGTACTTTCTGAACCACTATTTCAACTGACTAGCTGTTGACTCTTGGATTATTAAACATATCCATCTTAGTCATGTTGTAAACTTAAAAATTTGGAATGTCTACTTTTCAATTTGAAATTGGCATGCAATGTAACTATCTTCTATTACAGGAGAAAATAACTATGATTAGAGAAAATGAATCGTTGATAAAAGAAAATGAAAGGCTGAAACATGAAAAGCAGGCATTGTTTAAGAGTAAGGAAATGGTTGATGCCCGCGTCATGTCCCTGCAGAAGGATATTAAGGAGAAGGAGAATCTGGTAGGTTATTGTTATTGTTATGACAGCATTCATGCATTACAATTGTTTATACTAAAATATTGTGTTTCAGGTCCAAAACTTAAAGCAATCTATGGATGGAAAAAGGAAAGAACTGAATGAGTGTAGAGCTGAAATAACTTCACTTAAAATGCAAATTGAAGAAGCTCATTCTCAACGGAATCTAATAGCCAGTACTTCTGAAATATATG